AATCTTAAGTAAAAGCAAGTAAAAAAAAGGTAAAGTCACGTAGAAGGGAAGTAATAAAATAATAAAAATAAAACATAATAAAACAATTCTCACGACGTTTCGGCTACAACGCAAGCAGCCGTCTTCAGGTGAAGAATGAGACACTACCAAACTAGGAGCTTATATATAAGCTGCATTGGGGGTTGAAGAGCGCCTTAACAAAAAGAATGTGCATGTGAAGAGGAATTTAGCATATTCATGGAAAATGCGTAGGCGTTGGGCGGGGGGGTGTCAAAGTCATATTATGCCCATGCATTATGCAGGATCAGCAGCAACCAAGGGGGGTGCAGGGATTAGCAGTAACAAAGGAAAGGAATGTTAATGATATGTAGCTGCAGTTACTCAACAACCACGTAGAAAAACTAAAGTATAAACTACATAAAAAACTAAAGTATAAACTGCATCGCACCATCAGTATACTTACTATACTCTATAATAAGCTGAGTTACTAACAGCAAGTAATACATTACAATTCTACCTCGTAAAAATTCTATAATATGCTTCCATCTAAACCTTATTCTCTTATATCACACGAGCATATACCGTACTATATACTGCCATAGATAAACCCAACATTAAATTATATACTGTATTGCTGTAAACCAACCTATATCTTATACATTTAATATAACACTATGTATTATTCTACACACCCTAATGTGTATCGAAATGGTTTATTACGTCCTTCCAATGATTGCTGAGCCAGAATCCATCTTCTCGGTTAAAATTGTCTCTGTGTTTGTATATGTGGATCGCCTCATGAACGAATCTCTCATGATAGCCAGATGGCTTGCAGAGAACCTCTGTCTTGGAGAAGTCGATATCATGTGAGCCCACTGAGTTGTAACAGTGATCTGCCACGGCTGAGGTGTTTGTCCTACCGTGTTTCAGGTCAGCTTTATGTTCACGGATGCGGTCCGAGACATGTCGTTTGGTTTCCCCAATGTAACTGCTACCACAGAGGCAACTTAGTTTGTAGACGCCAGGGTACTGTATGTCTGGAACCACATCTTTTACAGACGGTACCAGATCACGGATTTTATGTACTGTGTTGAATCGGACCTGGATCTTGTGTTTAATCAGGATTTTGGAGATCTTTTTTGTGACCCCAGCAATGTAGGGTAAGGTGATGGTCTTGAAAGGCTCCTCAACAGGATCCTTCTTGATGGTTGAAGTGATGGCTTTGCGGATTGTATAGTCGGAGTAACCATTTGCCTTAAGAGCTTGGCGTACGTGTTTGAGTTCACTGGAAATGTGTTCATGGTCGGAGATGCATTGGGCTCTATGATATAGAGTCTTGATGAGGGAATTCTTCTGGGATGGATGGTGGTGGGAATCCGGTTTTAGATAAGCATCCGTGTGGGTGGCTTTCCTGTAGACAGAGTGGCTCATTGAACCATCAGGTCTCCTTTTGATTAGGACATCCAAAAAGGGTAGCTTGCCATCATTTTCGACTTCCATGGTGAATCTGATGGCTGGGTGTATGGAATTGATGTGGTCGAGAAATTGGTCTAGAGCAGGCCGGCCATGTGGCCAGATGACAAAAGTGTCGTCTACGTACCTCTTCCATAAGGTCGGGCGTAGAGTGGCAGTCTGGATAGCGTCCGTCTCAAATTTCTCCATGAAGATGTTGGCTACAACCGGAGATAGGGGGGAGCCCATTGGGGTGCCCTCAATTTGCTTGTAGAAGGTTCCATTCCAGGTGATACATACTTCACCTGGAATACATACTTCACCTGGAATGGAACCTTCTACAAGCAAATTGAGGGCACCCCAATGGGCTCCCCCCTATCTCCGGTTGTAGCCAACATCTTCATGGAGAAATTTGAGACGGACGCTATCCAGACTGCCACTCTACGCCCGACCTTATGGAAGAGGTACGTAGACGACACTTTTGTCATCTGGCCACATGGCCGGCCTGCTCTAGACCAATTTCTCGACCACATCAATTCCATACACCCAGCCATCAGATTCACCATGGAAGTCGAAAATGATGGCAAGCTACCCTTTTTGGATGTCCTAATCAAAAGGAGACCTGATGGTTCAATGAGCCACTCTGTCTACAGGAAAGCCACCCACACGGATGCTTATCTAAAACCGGATTCCCACCACCATCCATCCCAGAAGAATTCCCTCATCAAGACTCTATATCATAGAGCCCAATGCATCTCCGACCATGAACACATTTCCAGTGAACTCAAACACGTACGCCAAGCTCTTAAGGCAAATGGTTACTCCGACTATACAATCCGCAAAGCCATCACTTCAACCATCAAGAAGGATCCTGTTGAGGAGCCTTTCAAGACCATCACCTTACCCTACATTGCTGGGGTCACAAAAAAGATCTCCAAAATCCTGATTAAACACAAGATCCAGGTCCGATTCAACACAGTACATAAAATCCGTGATCTGGTACCGTCTGTAAAAGATGTGGTTCCAGACATACAGTACCCTGGCGTCTACAAACTAAGTTGCCTCTGTGGTAGCAGTTACATTGGGGAAACCAAACGACATGTCTCGGACCGCATCCGTGAACATAAAGCTGACCTGAAACACGGTAGGACAAACACCTCAGCCGTGGCAGATCACTGTTACAACTCAGTGGGCTCACATGATATCGACTTCTCCAAGACAGAGGTTCTCTGCAAGCCATCTGGCTATCATGAGAGATTCGTTCATGAGGCGATCCACATATACAAACACAGAGACAATTTTAACCGAGAAGATGGATTCTGGCTCAGCAATCATTGGAAGGACGTAATAAACCATTTCGATACACATTAGGGTGTGTAGAATAATACATAGTGTTATATTAAATGTATAAGATATAGGTTGGTTTACAGCAATACAGTATATAATTTAATGTTGGGTTTATCTATGGCAGTATATAGTACGGTATATGCTCGTGTGATATAAGAGAATAAGGTTTAGATGGAAGCATATTATAGAATTTTTACGAGGTAGAATTGTAATGTATTACTTGCTGTTAGTAACTCAGCTTATTATAGAGTATAGTAAGTATACTGATGGTGCGATGCAGTTTATACTTTAGTTTTTTATGTAGTTTATACTTTAGTTTTTCTACGTGGTTGTTGAGTAACTGCAGCTACATATCATTAACATTCCTTTCCTTTGTTACTGCTAATCCCTGCACCCCCCTTGGTTGCTGCTGATCCTGCATAATGCATGGGCATAATATGACTTTGACACCCCCCCGCCCAACGCCTACGCATTTTCCATGAATATGCTAAATTCCTCTTCACATGCACATTCTTTTTGTTAAGGCGCTCTTCAACCCCCAATGCAGCTTATATATAAGCTCCTAGTTTGGTAGTGTCTCATTCTTCACCTGAAGACGGCTGCTTGCGTTGTAGCCGAAACGTCGTGAGAATTGTTTTATTATGTTTTATTTTTATTATTTTATTACTTCCCTTCTACGTGACTTTACCGAAAGAAACAAGAAGATGAATCCCTGCAGTCACGAAAGCTTTAAATCGAAATAAAAAAAAGGTAGTTTTTAAATTTGATCTAAAATTGCTTAATGATTGTGAAGCCTTCAGATCACCTGGCAGACTATCCCACAGACGAGGACTGTCCACACTGAAGGCCGCTTCTCCGTGAGTTTTGTTCCTGGCCCTTGGGACGACTAAAAGACCGGTACCAGAGGTTCTGAGGGATCTTGCTGGTTCATATCTTAATAGCATAGATGATAAGTATGCTGGTGCCAAACCATTCAACGATTTCAAAACCAATTAAATAACTTTAAAATCAATTCTATGACTGTCCAGCAGCCAGTACAAGCATGGTAGAATGGGTGTCACGTGGTGGGTGCTCTTTCTGGCTTTCGTCAGCACACGTGCTGCCGCATTCTGAATAAGTTGTAGTTTAAATATTGACTTTCTCGGAAGACCGGAGAAGAGAGCACAGCAGTAGTCACGCCTGCTGGTAATAAAAGCGTGCATCAGTCTCTCAGTAGAACACCGAGAGAGAAAAGGCATCATTAGCTATATTTCTGAGATGAAAAAGGCCGTTTTGGTGATATATGTGATGTGGGTTTCAAAGTTCAAATACGGATCAAACAAAACACCTATGCTTTTAACCTGCAGTTTGGCGTTTTCTGTCAGCGAGCAGAAACTTGTGAGCAGCTAATTTCTTCGGGCTCTTGCTCCAATTACCAGGATCTCTGTTTCGTCTTTGTTAAGTGCCAGGAAATTCTGTGACATCCACATTTCAATATCATCAATGTACTTCAACAGGTTCTCGATGGGGCCTACATCATTAGGAGATATGCAAATGTATAGTTGCGTATCACCAGCATAGCAGGGTCGGAATCGAACCCACGACCTCCTGTATACCAGGCGAGGTAGTTAACATCTCGCCACCGTGGCGATCCCTTGGAGGTAGCAAAACTTTTGTAGAATTGATTTACTTACATTGTTAACAAGAGTGCATTCCTTGGTAATCCCACTCATTTTAAATGGTTATCGCATGATTTACTGTTGTTGGCCACACAAAGAAGCTGGAACCACTAAAGTTATGCCACTGAGGTGGTTCCGACAAGTGACATTTCTGATCTGGGCTCGTGGAATAATTTGTAAGAACTTTACTGGCATAATAGGCCCTCGTATGTCTCTTTCCACTGTGCAACCAAACCGTACCAGGGCCAAGCCAGCCTGGCACCGTGCCAATTCAGCCTGGCACCGTTCCAGATTGTTTTCCACTGCGGGAGCCGCGCCGTGCCGTGCCGCCGAGACGTCGTCGGCCTCGCCCCTGACCCGCTTTGTCCCCGAGCCAAATTCACGTGAGTTGTGTGTCCAGAAAAATTTGCCTGCGTTGCCGAATGGCCGGTGGCGAAACAAAAAAAAAAACCCCCACTCGTACCGAGAGGCGTGCGCTGGCTCTGCTCGGACATGCCAATGTAAAAAACAAAAAGAGGTCCGCGGTTTTTTTGTCGTTCGTACCGTCCACGCAGGAGGGATGAGCGCGCGTGGTGCCGGCCACCTTGCCCGGCAGGCAGGAGCACTTGACGGTCTGCGATCGCTCCTCGATCTTGTTCTTGTTGCAGCAGCGTCGAGCCGCGATGACCTCGCACGTGTCCGGAACTGCGCGGACGAGAGGGACCACGGGCGAAAGGGCCCCGGGGTGGTGAGGGCATGCATCGTATTGCGTACGTATGTATGTTGATGCTGGTCAACTGCTCGTGTGTTCAAAAATGGTTCACATCATCTGGGATATTGGAGACAAATCTGTCCAGGTGGCACTTTGGTTAAGAGCGTCTGTGTCACGCGCTCAGGTCGTAAGTTCACATCTTGGTTGTGAGTCAGTACCACTTCATAGGGGAGTAAACATTGTATGTTAACTTCTTCTGCACCGTACGTTGCCAACCGCGATTAATCGGAGGTGCGAGGGTAAGGACAACAAACTAAACACAAAATGCAAAAGCATTCGTTCGGAGGCTGCCGATTGCCACAAAGGGCAGAGGCTGCTCCTTTTTTTGTTATCCCTCTTAACCCTTTCCCGTTCCAATGACATACGTACACATACAGGGCACTCACACGTACGTCATCGTAAAAGGCCACGCGGGAGGGCACGTGGCGCAGTTTTTTGGCACCGGCTATCGTCGAGTGCGGTCGTGTCGCTGTGGGTTCTCCTGTGGCGGAGAACGGCGTCTTTAAAAACAGCGGCGCTACCGCCTGCACGTTCACGAGACGTCTCGGAACGGGAAAGGTTCAAGCGCTCGTATGTTCAGTGCGTTCACTCGATGTCCGGCGCCGTCGCCACGCGTGGTTCATGGGGGGGGGGGGAGGGGTCTGGCTGCATGGCGAGCATCTTCAGGACATCTGCTGCTGGCGAGTGAGTGAGTGCGTCGCGAGCGCTTGAGGGAAGGAATGGTCAACACGTGGCGCGATCGGAAATGTACGCGTTAACCTTAACCTGACGCAGAAACAGAATATTTTATGCTGGAGGAATCCGATGAGCCATGCAGCTCTTTTTTCACAGATGCGTTAAAACTCTTCGCAACACAAAAATCGCTCCTAGAAATCTGCCCGATTTGTTGTCGGATCTCGGAGCCTGTGAGAGGTCGAACGTCGTTTGTGCTTGAAAGGGAGGCTGCCTGGGAACGCCACCGGGTGTTGTCGCCTTGGGCCGTGAGGTGGCCAGGAGATGGCAGTAAAGCAACGAATTGTTGAATCTGTCTGTGCAGAGCTCTGCGCGTTCATCCGCCGCGTGCATGGGCATTCCCCCAGGAGCAAACAATCTCCCGCGAGGTTCGCCGACTACGAGCGATGGGTTAGCGATGAGAGGCGATGTCATTTCTTCAGTCGGCCTTTGTCGATCGTGAGCATATGATCGCTGCACTGTGCTGACGATTGCTAATAATGGTGAAACCGTTTCAGCAGGGCCGCGGGGAAGCAGCCTACCGTCGCCGTGTCAAACATTCACAATCCCAAAGAGGAGAAACGCCGTTGGACCTTGCGAGGCAGCTTCTCGCGACGCTTTACAACGGCCGCCTTTTGGATTGCTCACAGTCCCATGCGGGCCTTTTTTGCCTTCTTGCATTTGGTGCAGAGCTGAGTTTTCTTTCGTGCGCTTGGTGGCTTACCTCCAGCATTGCATGTTTTTTTTTTGTCGTCGCGTTTTTTGGCGATCGTTTTAAACGAGATGGCCGTTGCGCTCCGTGCATCCCACGGTTGGCAGTGGCACAACTTGGGACGCGCAACACGCCAGAGGATCTGCGAGATTCGTAATGTCTGCTAGCTAATGGCGAGCATGCAACCACGACTTTCCTCACATATACTCCAGGCTCTTTAAACTGGATATTATCGTTAGGAAAAAAAACAATTATCGCTAATCAGACTCCCATGTTGCTTCTGCTCACACGTTTTCCAATGTATTGATAATGCATAAGCCACACTTGGTCCAAATCGCTTCATTCATGCTGTGTGGGAGGGCTCCCTATTAATTGTTTTGGCTGCCTCGGATACTTCCCATCCAATACTATTTGTTAATGATGAGAAAAACGCATTCGAACGAGAAGATGCTGTTGGCATTGGCTGCATTTCCCAAATATTCGAGTTGGCTGCCTCTAAGCAAAAATAGGGTTCTCAAGCGCTCAGCCCCTTAGGCTGGTGGTCTAGACAAGGCTGGGGCCGTTGTACACACAATGTGGGGAGTGGCGTGACGTGCACGCAAGGCATGATGGGAGTCACATCTTGCTGCTGTTTATGAGCTGTACACCATCTTTGAGTGTTGTTGACCAATTTCTCTTGGCTACAGATCCCGCAAACTTGGGGGTTGACCTGAACTACCGGCAGCAAGACCCAATGTGCTGACCCCGTGAGTTGGGGAATAAAACAAAAATGAACACATTTAAAAAAACTCGGCGGTGCCCTAAAGATGCGAAGGACTTTGCTCGCCCATCGAATTTGGATTGCAATTCGTGTTGCGACAAAAGCCTTTAGGATTTGAACGTCAGCTCCTTAATGACCTGAATTAATTTGCTTGCTGAGCCGATTCCTCTTTTAGAGAACAACAACAAAATAAACGTGGAAGGAAAAATACCGTAATGCGAAACGCAAATCGCGATTCCGCATTGGCGGTGGCGCACAAGCACATTCAATCACATTCTTAGGTTTTTTCGGTAAAGTCACGTAGGTAAACATTTTTTAATTAATAAAAGTAAAATAAAAATAAAATAAAAATCACGACGTTTCGGAGGCAACACAAGCTTCCGTCTTCACAGCCCAAAAAAGAGAGGCCGGACATTCGTGTAACCGGCGACGTTTGGATGAATAAACCTTTCTCGTCTGAACGATGAGTAAACTAATGAAAAATATCAACGAGTAAATAATAAATTGGCAAAATAATGAAGATGTGAGATCTGTTGGTAAAAGTGAGTGGACTTTGGCCAGACACATTGCGAGGAGGGATGATCACCGATGGCGAAGAATGCTTCCATAATACAATGTTTTTTTGGGTTAGATCGCGTAAATATATAAATGTGTCGTTGTGGCTTTGCTCTCCAACACACCGGTGTGCTGTACTGATAACGAATTGGCACGTTCCGTTAACGTGAGAAACCTTATTAATTGGCTGTGTCAGGTGGTAGCTGGTTTAGCGACACATTTATATATTTACGTGATCTAACCTAAAAACACCTGTATTATCGATGATTTTGGTTGCGAAAAGCCTGCCACGTGTTAAGCCTGTGAAGAATACTAATAAAAACACTGACGGAGGGGCAGACGAGAATTGCAACGCATCAGCGAGGGAACGTCCGCTGAGGAGATGGAGCGGTGAAATCAGTTCGTGCGCAAGTACTAGGTCGGATTGGTACAACTGCAGGCTCATGGGAGGTGACAGCAGTTTGGTGCGAGGCTTTCATCCAGCAGTGGCTCGAACGTCCGTACGTTTTCGCACGCGGACAAATGGTGCTCAATGTGTTCATCGACAAGCCTTTTAAGAGACGCATCAGGCAGTACCGCAGTTATTTTGGTGACGTAACAATGCAAGTGCCCGGTTAATCTTGCGTTCGGAGGCAATCGGGAACCAGCCGGACGGAGCATGGCGAGTGGGTTGAAGACCCTGTCCATCCGACAGAACTTGAAGAGTGTTTTTCCATTACACGTGTGAATGTTATACGGGCAATGCTTCTTTACTCCCACATGGGGAGAGAAGGGGGTGGGAGGGGGGGAAAAGGAAAAAAGCGAACAGAATTTAATAATCAAGACCTTTGCAATAAAGTCATAAGACTTGGTAAAAAGCTTTTCTTTTTTAACATTTTCAATTTTAGTCGGTGTCTCTGCGCGTGGCTTCTGGGTCAGAACGCTGATCCCGGCTCCTCTGAGACCCGAGCATCGCGAGGTAATGGTCTTCGCCCAGCCACTGATGACTGCACGAAACATTCTGACATTTACATTCAGCGTTGCGCTTAATTTGGCTGGATTGCAGCCGAGAATTGGACGCGCCGGCTTCACTGTCACGAGACAAAAAACACGAGTATTGCATGTGCGTATGTTGAACTTCTTTCGCACCGTACGCATGCGACCTTGCTAATCGGAGGTGCGGGGGGGGGGGGGGGAGGACAACAACCTTTACGCACAAAAGCAGTTCCTTGAGAAATGAGTTTTGTTCAGTATAGTTTTGGAAGTGCATCGCACAAGCGGCTTCCTGATGTCGGAAGGAAGAGCGTTCCAGACGGCGGCAGAAATGCACGCCCCCACTAAGTGTCCGCACAAAGAGGGAACTTGAAGCATTCTCGGAAGCAGTTCTATAAACTCTATTTCTTTGGGCCATTCTCCAACACACGGGAGAGGGGAGGGGGTGATGCATCGTTGCGTTGAAGTTCTGAATGGATGCTTCGGCGCATGACAGGACGACGAAGAGCTCCATCTGGAATAGTAAACGTCGTGTGGTGTAATATGATGCGACGAATAAGCCTTCTCCTCGAATTCAGTCGGTAGAGCATCGCATCACGTTGGGCGCTGGACCCAGAGGATGGCAGAACTGCTGCCGAAGCCACTTGGGCGAGGCCTCTCTCATCCCACACGACATAGACAGGTTTCATGCTCTATAAGGCGACCGGTTCCAATATATTCTCTTAGTACATTTGATCGAATAGGGCTTAATAGCAAAAGTTATTTCTTGATCTAATGAGCACCCGAGGCAGTGGTTCATCTGTTCATGGCCTTGAACCAGTGGTGGACATTCCTCATTCATATGGTGGGGGGATGAGTCTTTCTGGAGGTCAACCACTCCACTCTGGAGGGATGACGGGCTGCAGTCGACCTCCAACCGGGAGTTGAACTCGCACCCCATCGGATTGCGAGCCGCTCGGTGAGCAGAGCCGAGGCGGCTCAAGTCCCAAGGGTTATCGAAAGCTTCAAATCTAGAATTATCGAGGAGGGTTCCTGGATTAATCAAGGATTCACGGCCGCACAAGAACCCACGATTTCAATGGTGCAGGCTCATTGTCTCTGACGTGGACATTACGACTCCGACAAGTGGTTCTCAAGGGTGTTGTATATTGTGTCCCTCCCCACCACCCACAAATCATGACCACCAGCCACCCCCCCCCCCCCCACTCCTAGCGCTCACCGCT